CTCTACACTGCCCAGCCCTGAAGCCGGCTCTGTAAACGTCGGCGGGACGAAAACAGAAACAACCAGCTGGAGTCCGGCGCGAAGGGTTCCATCATGGTCTGGCATCTGAAGCGCCGGAAAAAGCTCATCATCTCGGAGTGATGTTTCGCAAATATAGAAACTCCAAGGACCAAACGACTGTAGTACACGTAGTAGTAGTCATCCTCGTCGTGGTGGTGTTGGTAGTGAAACAGCGGTAAAAGGAGGCAGCTGTGGTTGTAGTGGCAGTGGCAGTGGTGGTGGCGGTGGTGGTCGTGACAGTGGTGCAGGTGGTGGTGTTGGTGGTGGCGGTGGTGGTGGTGGCTGAAAGCAGTGGTGGTGGTGGTAGTAGTAGTAATCTTGTAGTTGTAGTTGCAGTTGCATTTGGTAGTCGTAGTAGCTGTTGTTGTTGTAGTTGGTCGTGGTAGTAGTAGTAGTAGTAGTCGTCGTCGTCGTAGTGGTAGCAGCAGTAGCCGTAGGACTAGTAGGAGTGGCACTAGTAGAAGTAGTAGTAGTAGTAGTAGTAGTAGTAGTAGTAGTAGTAGAAGTAGTAGTAGTAGTAGTAGTAGTAGTAGTAGTAGTAGTAGTAGCAGTGGAAGTAGTAGTAGTAGTAGTAGTAGTAGTAGTCGTAGTCGTAGTAGTAGTAGTAGTGGTTGTTGTGGTAGTAGTAGTAGTAGTAGTCGGCCCCCCCCCCCTACCCACTACCCCTTTTGCATGCGTTGCTTTGGGGGGGGGATTGGGCGGGGGGTGGGGGGGGGGGCTGATAACGTGCAGGCAGCCTCGAACAGTTATGACTTTATGACCACCCATTTTCGAGTTTTCGCTGAAAGCCCTCGCAAAGGCAAAAGACAACGTAGCAAAGTCCAGAGGTAGGCTTGGCGACTAGAAAGAGGGCTGACGTCACGAAAGCACTGTAAATACCGAGTAACATGGCTTTTCCGGAGATGTTGTTCGGGGTGTCGGCGTAACAATGTCGTCATCATTCTTCCCGCACCCCCCCCCCCACCCCCCGCCAAAAGCAAGTCCAGAATCGGATGCTGGAGTTTGAAAACTCGTTGTTAGTAATGGAGTGTGGCATGAGCAAAGTACTTTAAAGACCGAATAAAAAGCTTTCCCTCACCCAATTTCGAGTTTTTCGCTGAAAGCCCTCGCAAAGGCAAAAGACAACATAGCAAAGTCCAGAGGTAGGCTTGGCGACTATATAAGATAGCAGACGTCGCGAAAGTACGGTAAATACCGAGTAAAATGGCTCTTCCGGAGATGTTGTCCGGGGTGTCGGCGTAACGATGTCGTCATCATTCTTCCCGCACCCTCCCACCCACCCCAAAAAGAAAAGTTCCGAAAACGATCTCGGAGTTTCAAAACTCGCAGGTGATATTTGAAGCTTCATAAGATGCTGCTACATGCCGAAAGTGCTGTAAATACCAAGTAAAAGGGATGTGTGTTACAAGCGTATGTAACACGAGGTAGTGGGTTGGGGGGGGTGGCTAGTAGTAGTAGTAGTAGTAGTAGTTGTTGTTGTTGTCGGAGCAGTAGTAGTAGTAGTAGTAGTAGTAGTAGTAGTAGTAGTAGTAGTAGTAGTAGTAGTAGTAGTAGTAGTAGCAAGTAGGAGTAGTAGTAGTAGTTGTAAGAAGAAGAAGTACTGTAGTAGTAGTTGTTGTTGTAGTGGTTGCAGAAGAAGTTGTAGTGGTAGTAGCAGTAGCCACAGCAGCAGCAGAAGCAGCAGCAGCAGCCGAAAGAGCAGTGGTAGTAGTAGGAGTAGGAGTCGTAGTAGTAGTAGTAGTAGTAGTAGTAGTAGTAGTAGTAGTAGTAGTAGTAGGAGTAGTAGCAGCGGCAGCAGCAGCACCAGCAGTAGCAGTAGCAGCAGCGGCAGCAGCAGCAGCAGCCCGAGTAGTAGCAGTAGTAGTAGTAGTAGTAGTAGTAGTAGTCGTCGTCGTAGTAATGTCTCACCTTCTAGGCTAGGCCAGGACAGCGAGTGACTGTGCAAGACTGCCAACAAATAACAATCCATCAACCGAGATGTGTTTCCAAATGCTTCAAACATCCTCCAGATCTCCGCGCCGCGAGGTCTCAGCAGCCATGATTCGGTGGCATCCTCGCGCGAGATCCGGGGGATTCCATCCCTTTTCTTGGTGGGGGGGTTATCTGGCATCGCTAGGTTTTACTCTAACCCTTCAACACTACCGTCGCCATGCAGGAGCCGATGCTACACTGCGATGAATGGCGAAGTGCAGCCTCAATTCCCCCATAACTTTCTCAGAGCCTCTGCGACATGGCGCGACTTACAGCTTTCAGAACTCTTTTTCTCCCTCGTCAGGCTAAGGAGCCCGCAAACTCGATGTCCGCGTCTAAAGCAAGCACCGCCGCGACGAACGCAATTCGGGCACAGTGCGACATAGTGGCACTGCTGCTACCCCATCATGTGACCAAACATATGCAGTCTGTTGAGGTTGTCACTGAGACGAACAGCGCAATGGAAAGTTCGCCAAACAAAAACAATAGCGAGGTGCAACAGCCATAGGAACCGCAGATCCATCTAGGCTCCAGCGACCCAATTCTGCTAAATGCTTTCTCGAAAAGCAGCCGCGCTTTAGAAGAACCCGGCTTCTAGCTGCCAACTCCCTCGCCGTCCTCTTCGGCTTTAGCTTTGCTTGGGAATCCAACCAGCCACCGGCACCATTCCTCACATGCAGGCGCTTACATCGTGTTCGGAGCAGCCGGGAAAAAAGCGTCGCTTTTGGATCAACCTCAAGAACTGCCGAGGGCTACAAAACCAACTTTCAGCTCATGTAGCCGTCAATTCGGTACTAGGCAAGGGCTTTCGGTGCTCACACTGGGACGGGCCAGACTAGGCAAGTGTTCAGGAGAAAGCAGGCACAACGAGCCGGCCGACCTGGCGGCACACCAGCTACGACCACTGTAGATCCTCAGCACAGCTAGCGTAGACTCATGGGCTTGTGCTGGTTCAAGAAGTTTGCAATCCCATGGGCTGTCAGGGGTCTGCATGCTGCAGAGCAAGAAATCTGCTTCCAATGCTAACACAGCTGTCGTGTCGCCTGCACCGCTTTTGCTCCCGCACAGCAGACTGCGCCTAACTCATGCGTTCCCAAGTACATGGGAATGAGCCAAAAGGTACGCTGCTCAAGCTGTCTGCCTGTCACTTCTCTGCCACCTTGGCAATACAGACAGTGGTTTCCATACCGTCTTCCTGAAAGCCTGGATAAAACAAACAACTTGAAACCTTCTTAGTCCAGGTTCACAGCTTGCAGCGAGTCATGCTCCGTTCCGGCAAGATCGCCCTCTGTACATGCACGCTGTGCATCAGTTCCGAGTGCAAGTGCGGGGATGCTGTATTTGGTTGGGCTCTATCCGAATCTGCAGCTCCTTCATTTCCCCTGAACGCCTGCCGACAAAGGGTCCTATCATCAGCAAAACTCTGCGATCTCTGACAGAAGCAGGGACACCGAATACCACAAAGCCAACATACTGTCGAGACTACATGGCTTGGCAGTGCTGGCTTGGCAGTGCTTTGCTGATCACCCGAGCATGGCTACAGTACCATCAATGCCGCCGTCAAACACCAGTAGCAAGCAAAACCACTTTTCACGATGAGCCCCAAACATCTTCAACACGTGGAGCTCGCCCAAGACCCCACACAAGAACTTCAATCCTGACAAGTCCCAAATTCCGAGTACGGTTCCTGCACTAACCTTAAACCCCTAAGGTTCGTTTGAGGATCCCTGAAACCCTATTCTTTCGATCTTCCGTCGCCGCACCGTGGCTTCTACGAGGACGGCTGTGCCAGCTGCAGGAAAAACTCGGCAGCCAGCTTCAGCGCAGAGGCCTGGGAAAGGACTGCAGGGTCCCTTCTAGGGTCTTTATCTGTTTGTTTGGGGTTAGGATTCAGGGGTTTATGGGTAAGAGCTTGAGGATAATTTGGGTTTACAGTAGGAGTTTGTGCTCTCACAGTCGGAACACCGGAGCTGACCGGTTCACGGCTTGCCGACGGCAGAAAGGTTCAGGTTCTAGGATTTGTTCCAAAGACGAAGGGTCCGAACGGTTCCTAGTCTACTGATCTGTGGGGAGGGGTGTCTGTATTGGGATCCTACTATTTGAGATCAACTCTATAGACTCTATATCCTATGACGTACTTGGACTATGACAGCTTACACGCATTCAAACCTTGGCCTGTGGTGGTCATCAGTCATAAGCTCCACATTCGGAAGAGCGAAAAACAACACTTAGCCAAGGCGTCAGCGTCATACATAGGCCTTGGGGATTGAATCTTGAACAACCTGAGACCACTTGACCCAGCTCAGGAATTTAAGGCGATACCCATAGCAAAGGAAACCCTTCGCAAATGGAGGGCACAATTCAAAAAAACGTAACCAGGAGGAGAAGGCTCCGCGAACGAGTACACAATCTTTTCGCCCAGCTCTGAAACGCCCGATCTGTTTCTTCCGCCTGGGATTCCATGACGGTCTCCACGCCTTCCTGCAACGGGCTTCAGGGGTCCACGAAGATCTGCAACGCCCTCATGTCCCGCAGCCTCTACCTACTTCCAACAAGAGCATGACGCTACACACTTGCCACGCGTTCAGTTAAAGCAATCGCAGATCAGAGACCAGCGGGAAGTAAAAGAAGAACAAGTTTGTGTAAGTTCTTGAAGGTAATGGTGCGATGTTGAGCATGATGTGAGGAGAACCGCTGGTTGGCCTTGGAAGTGCGCTGGTGCCGGTACCTATACTTTTTTGCCCGAGGACACAGTGCGTACAAAGGAAAACTCCTGTGAATGTGCCAAACGATGGGGCCACAGGGCCTGCGCAAGTTTCGCCAACAAAACACTATACCCTTCCTGATGTTTGAACGACGACACTGCCATCGAAAAGCCTCTGTATCTATCCTACAGTGCCCTACAGGCTGAGCGAATATGAGCGAATCATGGTCCAACGCCCACAAAACAGCCGGTCAGCTACCCTTGCCTTCTGCGGTATCATTTTGTCATCTGCACCCCGGGTCATCCAGCCATGGACCATGTTCCTCGAAACCAAGCCACAAGACTTTGACAAAGACGCTGCCATATGTGGAATATGGCATAAGGTTTGCTGCACCTTCATGAAACACATCGGCATGCCAAGGAAGCGCTGCGCACCAGAGAGCTTCAGCTACTTCCGAAAATTGCGAGACAAGCTTCTCGTAGACGACTGACTTGCTCGCGGGGTGGGTGGCAGTAACGATGCTCATGAACCCGCCACCTCTACAGCAAAGGAAGGTTTCCATACGAGTGAGGCATCATAGTGCTTTCGATGCGAACCAAATCCATCGAAAGTCAGGGAGCCTCGACAGCAACAAAAGGCCCCCTGTCTCGGAATTCCGCTAGAAACATTCTTTGCCTCTTTTGTGCCATGCTGCTGCACGCACAAAGTACGGTAGAAGGCACGTGTGCAGGGAGTGATCACAGGAACATCATGGGAGACTTCCGGGGGGTCGATCTTTGTCTGATCCTTGAACGTCCCCTGTAACGTACGAAGGTAGCATATCCAGGGAAATAACTCCAGGTAATATATACCCGACTATGCGGTAAAGAAAACCCGTTACCTTTGCCACAGACCCTTCAGAATGCCTGCGACCGGCCTGGCTTGACGTGGTTGTCGTCATTGGAGGCCGGGATCATCAGCTGAGGACATTGGACCTCCTGCGCATAGGTAGGGGTGATGTAGTTATACGTTCCACGAAAGTTCCCAAAGGCTTCGTTGAATGTTATGGTGATGATGATGACGAAGATGGTGGTCGTGGTCCCCATCCGCACTTTCCTCCAGTCCCTTGCTCAAGAGTCCCGAATGAAAATCAAACAAACATGACTTTGAACGAACCCAACCGAACCTTGGCTTGGCATGACAACGGTCGTTACAGTTTTCGCAAGAACACCACAAGCCAAGCACGATTTTCAACTAGATATTGCAATGAACATGCGGAGGCGAAGCCCAGAGCAACATAAGAGCGGAGGTACGACCAACAGCCACACTGAGAATAGCACATCAACGTGATTGTACACAACATCATCGCCATCAGTAGAGGGGAAGGGAAGGGGGCCTTGGGGTTCCCTGTGTTGTTTCCCATCCGCCCCGGTGGTTCCCTGTCTTGTGGTTCCATGTATTGTGGGTTATCCTTCCCCCCTCGTTAGCCAAGGCGAGAGGCCTGGCTTGAGGGGGGGCCTACCGTGGCATACCGTGGAGAACGTCGACGGTTATGCGGATGACGTGTGACTGTTTGCTAGGACGAGAGGCGTGGCTTGAGGGGGGAGGGGGAGGGGTGTGGGCCTGCGACGCGGCGACGCGGCACCATATATATCCATATATCCATATATATATATATATATATACTTCGCAAAGATGCCCAGCATCGGTCGACCCATACACGCAACCACCACGAACTCGAGCTGGCCGGTGACATCTTCATTAAAGTCACCTAAAGATGCAGCTCATCTCTATGAGATCTTCATCCCAAAACCGTGCCATGTAAGATCTGAAAGCAAATCACCCTTCTGCAAAGCTCGTCCTTGGCCAAGTCTTCTTCTTTTTGGCCGTGCGGTGAGTATTGCAGCTTGCCTCGGGGTACCGACTTCAGTTGGGGCCTCAAGACTTACGACAAAGTGATTCTGGGGGTATAGAAAACTATAAATCATAATGATATATAGATTCTAGGGTCAGAAAGGGCGTGCTGGTACCACTTGTTCAAACCCCTTTGTTACATATGTGGTTTTCCCTTCTGGTGCTGCAGCCGCTCCGCAGCCCCCGCAGGGCCAAGCAAATCGCTGGTCCGAGATTTTCCCGGCTTTCGATTGGCATTCACTCTCGGCAGAACTCGGTCCAGGTGAGGTCAGCAGTCGAGCAAACTTCACTTCGCGGTACCAGTACAGCCCAAGACCGAGAGAAAGACCCCTCTATAGGCCTTGCTAGTCTGTCGGGCAAGTGCCCGGGCAGTCGCGCTCATCTGCTTTGCAGCCACAGGTCACCGGGCATTGAGCGCGAAGAGACACGACAAGATCTCCATCCGTGCGCGGAAGACAGAAGCCGCCACCTGCCACCGCTTGGACTTCTTCAGAATCCAAGAAAGCACAGCCCGTAAGCCCGCGCGGATGCGGGATATCGAGGCCTAGCATGTAGTTCGCATTTGCCAGTGCATCATGCCAACCACCACTTCTGTAGAACTCCCCGGCGTTCAGCAAGGACTCCGCTTTGTTAGGGCCTGGCAGAAGGCTGTAATAGCTGCTGTTCAAGCTCATCATGTAGTCTTTTGTGCGGGCATCCCGGAACTCGTCATTCCCGAGCTGCACCTCATAAAGTCCGTGAAAATATTGTTTGATATAGTTGCTCGATGCCATTTGCTCGAGGGTCATGTCTGTGCAAGGTGCATGCTTTATCTTCAACGAAGTCGCCCTCTGTGGCATGCACATTTTCGGACAGCCATAAGGAACTGTCGCGAATGCCGCAGCCGCAGAATTGATAGGCTCATCGCAACCACAAGTTTGCGGGCACAGGGCCCGAAGAGTGTTCATGCTCATGTCCGCACACAGATCGGGCTTCTCTGCCAATTCCATGCAGCTGCCCACAGTGTTGTTCGTGATGTGCCTCAAACGATCCCGGATAAGGCTAGCCGGAAACGCCTCATCCATGCAGGGGAGACGCTCAGCAGCCATTTGGACGTCACTTTTCGCCAACATCAACAGTTCGAAGAGCAAGTCCATGCTGGCCCTGGCCTCCTCACCATCGCCTGTGCGAAGGATAGCTGGTGCCCCGCTCTTCTGGAACCTGTCAATCGTGTCCTGTGTGTACCAATGCGGAATGGAAAACAAATCCATTTCTGCCAGTCTCATCACACTTTTCTGGTTGGAAGTCAAGGGAACGTTGTCTGAGAAAGTAGGTGTAGCTTCGACCAATCCAGTAGCCGCATTGACCGTGTAGATGAAGTCTTGCCTGCCGCTGCAGAGAATGTTGTGTGCTAGCCGCACCCGGTCGTGAAGCGGTTGGAGCAAACACACCCAAGCCAGAGAGAGACCCAGAAGAAGAAGTGCTACTTTTAGCAAATTCTTCATGCGCTCCTGGAAACCCCCACCCATGTGGGCCAGACCCGGGAACTCCAAGCGGGCGATTGGCAGCGTCCCCAAGGCGTTCAGGAGGAACCGCGCCCTTCTTGGCATAAAGGCCGACTCGATCAGCTCATCGATGTCGAGGATGAATGCCAGGGCCACCGCATTGAGGATCAAGTCTGCCAGGTTCAAGGTGTTCGCAAGGTAACTTGTACCTGTAATCGCCAAACAAACACCCACCACCAAACGCGGCAATGCGACGAAGATGTAAACCATGTACTTCCGACATGCTGATATCTTCGTGATGACAACGCGCCCGCTGTCACCGTCCTCTTTGGGTGCTATCACGGTATGCTCGCCTGGTGGGTAGCCTCGTATTGCACTGACGAATCCCATGATGTTGAATAACTCGCGAAGGGTCGTGGACAGCCAGCAGCCGATAGCCAGCAGCGCCAGTATAGGTCCGATAGAGATGTAGTCGTTCAGGTCCGAGATTATTCCTGTTTGGACACTCGCCCACTGCAGGGATTCATCCTGGCTGCAAACTTGCCTTGCCATTGAACGACCTCCGACGAGGTCGGCATATTTCACATCGTGGGCCACCTTCGTCCTGAATTGGAGGTACTCTGTTAGCTCATCTGGTTGTAGAACACCCTCCAACATGCGGCGACGGACGATGAAAACGAAGGCGATCTGAGTGAACATGTTCAACAGCAGCAGAAACCCAGCCAGTGCGGAATCCCACTTGCTCAAAGTTGGCAGTCCGATGAATAAGCAGGCATCCCAAACGGAGTGCTTAAGCTCATAGCACGGCCCTTTGGTCGTAATTCCAGCACGTATCTCATCTCCGTCTGATGTGAAGAGAGCCTCTTCGAAGCGTTCCGACTGCGTGTGGACAAGCTCACTGGAGGAGATGCTGCATCCATCTTCCAGGTTCCTTTCAAGAGTCTCGAGGTGATTGAGCGGATCTTCTTCCCTGCCACTGTCACCGTTGGCCGCGGGCTGCTGTATGGATCTCAATGCCGCCTCCACCTGACTCAAGCGGGCCTCCAGCTGCTGAAGCCGCAGCTCGGTCGCAAGAGCCATGATTTCCACAAGATTGGGCCTGGAGCCTTAGGATGGCTCCGGTTGGATCAACCCCTGCTAGTCCTCTAGCAAGGACTGGGGCACTAACAAACCTAAACTCGTCGGCGCTGGCATCTGCTACTGTGAAGGAGATTTATAAACAGATTTACGCTCTCACAACTCGGACACAGCCAGGCGAGGTTCTTAGGTGCGGAGAAGGCTTGGGGAAATTCAGGCTTGGGGGACACGGGTGACATTTCTTGAAGTGCCCTCGACACCATCAACAAAAACCGTATTCTGTAAACCTGGGGTGAAATCAAGCCCTACGAGATGCAAAACGACTCTTGAGCCGCAGCCATTGGTTTTCGGGCTTGAGCTTCACAGTCTGCGGTGCATGAACTTGCGTCTTGTCTTCTCCGACGTTTGAGATTGAGAAGGGCGAAAGACGATGTGTCTCGGACCCTAGACCCTTCAACCCTAGACGCTGGGAGGCTGACGTTCTCAAGCTGGGCATTGAACTCTCCATCTGACCAAAACAGGAGTTTCCGGAAACTAGGGTGCCGTATTTTGACTCGCACTCCTCTCGCACAATGCAGGCACGGATTCCAGCACGCAGGCTGGGTACCGTTTTTGGGGGACATAGTTAACAGGCCTTTAGCGGACGTGGTTTCGGCGCTCACACTCGGACGTACCGGCGAGGCATGCGGTTCGAGGTCTGCAATGAGGCAAAAACCATTCCAACTGGTTTGGTGGTCATAAAAACCAGCTTGCCCTAGAGCCTACAACCTAGAGTACCTAGAGTTACGAGAGACCAACCTCCCACTAAGTTCTTCCATTCACAAGATACCTAGTTTAAGATCTCAGCCACTACGACAGGGAAGATCACACGCAAATGAAGAAAGGTATACCAAAGGACTAAAGGATGTGGTTTACGCTCTCACAACTCGGACATAGGCAGGCGAGGATGTGGTTTAGGATTTCGGTGTTTTAGCCTTCCTCATGGTATTTTCCAGAAAGCTTCCTAAACCCCTTGGCCAAGCCCCCAGAAAACCCGGGCCTGGCAATAGTCAGGAGTGGGCCACCGAAGCAAAGGACAGTGGGGGGAGACCACATTCGGCTAAGGAGCTAGTGCTACTATGGTTATTGTCGTGGCCATGAAAACTGTTGGCACAACGAGCTTTACTATTCAGAGTATTATTTCGGTTATGTTGCTGCTACTGCTGTTGCCAGTGTTCGTGGTTGTCATTTAAACTGCGTGGTTACAATGATATCAATATGGCTGTAACCAGTACGACGGCGACTACGACTAGGACTACAACGACAACTGCTACTGTTGTGATGATGATTCTGATGCATCTTATTACTATTACCGTAATCATTATCCTTGTTGTTATTATGACGATGATGATTATACGATGGTTCTTCTTGCTGGGCGTTTCGGCTCGCAGAGGTGCGGCAAGCCCGGCATCTTGAGGGCCTGGGCCTCCCTTCGGAGTTTCAGACGCGGTCGAAGCAGGGGTCTGGGAATTCCAATTTGTCCAGGTAGAAAGCGCCTATGGGCATAGTTGTTACTGCAATTGCTGCTCGTACGCTTTCTACGATTACTAGCCTTGTTGCAAAATGTCTTTCATTTACTAACGAACCTCTTTTGCCATCGCCATCATCATCACCATGACGGTAGCACAGGGGCAGAGTTGCAATCATGAGCGGTAGTACGGCAAGAATCACGCCCTGATCACGCCAAACGTCAAACACATAAGACAAACCAGCATCGGGATCTCCAGCCGTGCGACCGACAAGAAGGGAGGGGTGGAATCCGACCACGCCGCGGAAGGCACCCAACGTGCTGGCTTTCGCCTTGGATTTAGTGTTTACACCCCGCCCTTTCTGTCTTGGCTCTCTCTTCTTCCTCGGCTTCTTCTTAAGCACAGACGAAGGACACGTAGTCATCATGCTGCAAGTGGTTCGAGTCTGCCTGAAACTCCTTCCCCGCTGGAAGGGCAGTCCTTTGTGTCTCCCTGCCAGGACCTCTGCACCGCCCCTCTCACCCACTCACTGTCTCTCTGACACTCTCTCCTCTTCCCCGGGGCATGAGGGGGTTGCGAAACCCCTCGGCCTTGTAGGCCCCCCCAGATGTTCGTGGGGCTTGTGGAAGGGCGTGAAAAGTACATGTTTTCCCCCGGTATCTCTTGAAGCATCTGAAACATGTTTAGTTTACCAGGGTCAAACTGGATCTGGCATCAACATTGCTTGCCGGGGGAGTATGCCATCGTCAAAACCTGAAGTAAGCGCATGCTTAGTGTCTCTCTCTCTCTCTCTCTCTCTCCCTCTATCTCTCTCGTCCAAGCCTACCCGAACATGTTGAACGGGTGTTGGAGAGTGAGATGCGAGCATAGTTCGTCACATAGGCTACGGCCGTAAAGTATACAATGACAAAGTCAGGTGCTCTCGCTGACAAGGACTTCCGACAAGAACGATTGATCATGTTTCCGGGGGCTTAGGGGTCGCTGCGCGTCCCAATGACCACCGCTCTCCCTCTCTCTCTCTCTCTCTCTGCCTGAACCCTTGCATCCAGCGATGCTCCTAGGAGTGTGGATGGACCCAGAGATCAGAACTGTCGGAAGAAAGGCACAGCTGTTGACGAGTTCAAGCAGAAACCATGCGAGCCGCTACAACATAGCCGCCGAAGCAGAAGCCGTAGGCAAACATCGGCACCTCTCCGTCGCGTACAATTTAGAGTCTAGAGTCATTTAGAGCTCAGGTGGGTCCATGCTGGAGGGCTTTGTGTGTGAAATGGTATATCCGTTTAGGTCGGGCCTGGGCCAGCCTTCCAGTACTATGACTATGCTACACACCTTAGATACATTTTTGGAGGAGGTTCGAATGTTCAGGCATTCAATGCAAACTCCTTTTTGCAGCAGGCCTCGTTGTCCAGCAGCCCGGTTACAGCAAGAGCCCCCCTTTCCCCAGCTTCTTCAAAGCAAGGATGCAAACTCCTACATCCACTACAATATGATGATATTGGATGTCGTCGTCACGACTATGCCAATTTGTTGCCACCGCCCAGTGGTAGTGCTCTGCTGCAGCAGTACTTCGTAGGACTGTGAGTGTGATCTGTGCCCATCTTGTTTTCCCCAAATTAGGAAACTGCAAAGCCTCCCCAGCCGAACACGTTGCACCTCGGGGTGTTTTGCCGCAAGGGCTTCTGTGAGCTTCTGGATCTGTGGAGCCAGGATTCCTGAAGCGGGCTTTTGGAACCTGCAGCTTTGAGGCTTCAGGCACCTCAAGGTTGAAGACTTTCTGGTCCTTGTGCTCGTGCATGTCTAGACTCCAGAGCTCACTGAACCCTGTGGTTCATGTCTTCATGCGCTTAGAGTAGGAGTAGCATGGATGACTTTAGCCTCTAGCAGCTGGCCATGTACTTCAGATCGCGCGGCAATCACCATCGATCACCCGGGTCCGGAAGGAGCTTTGAACTAAAAGAACCCTGTCAAAGCAAGGTCCCCCCATCCCTGAGGCTCACGCTTCGAAGAAACCGCAATTTCCTGGCGTAAACCTGAACATGAAGACAAGCTGCCCCAGCTGTAGCGATACCTGATCCGATACAGCATCTTCCTGGACCGCAGGGAAGCTGCTTACTTCAGGGCCTCGGGGCTCTGGAGGTCGGGTGGGCGAAGCACCGAACGATGTCCCCAAGCACTGCTTCCTTCTTATTCCTCGAGCCAGAGGCCCTGCAACGAACAAGAACCTTGCTACTAATCATTCTTTGCTACCATTACCTTGATTATTTTGCTTGTATCCATGGTGAGCCCTCTCCAGTGCTGTGCCAAGTTTCGGCATGTGCAATTTCAGCCGCAAGCTCGCCCAGCTGCTGCTGGAATAATCGGGGGCGACGGGATCGCCATGGAAAAGGTCCTCAGAGAAAGGCTTCAGAGTGTAGGGCTGAGGGAGCGCAGCAAGGTTTAGGTGCATCACTGAGTGCCTACTCTGCTAATGCGTGTTGACTCTGGTCATCGTTCAGAGAGTCCTAATACAATTTCACAACACCATTGATTGTAGTTCGGTTGTGCCAGTCTTACCCGGGGACCCTAATATAGGACCCTAAATAGTAGGATCCTTATTATAGGGACCCCCAAAATAAGGTACCCCTTGGCTTCAGAAGTCCAAGATACGATTCATTGGCCTGCAAGTGAAGTGTTGCCAGGCTTCGGCACCGGAAGCCTGTAAATATCTGAATACTCAAACCTCTTAAAGCCGAGAACGTCAAGTGCCACTTAGCCCTGCAACTCATGAATTCAGGTGGTCTGGTGAGACTTCCGCAAATCTAAAAGTCAGAAGCTCGGCGTTTGGGCCAGGGTCTTGAGGCATAGACCATGACATCTGCACGAGGTCCAGAACGCATTGGCAGCTCAACGGGTGACGACACCGAAACTTCGGCAAGTTTGAACATCATCGCATCAGCTCATGGTGGCATTCTTAGGCATTCTTCATTCATGTACAACCGCTGCACGATTTAGAGGCTTCTCATCCTAAACTCACTTCTCAGCGCATTTAGAATTGCGCACTCAAGCTGGAGGCCTTGGTTGTTGCATCCCTAAATACTCTGGTAGTCTGTCATCTGAACATCTCCAAACCCGACATGGCCGAAACGGCTCAAGTCTAAATCCAAAAACAGTCTATTGCCTTCGAACTGCCGGCATGCAAACGAGGCTGTTGGGGACGGCTTCCGCCATCTGGTCGCAGATCCGTCGGTGGCGCCCTGCTTGTATGTACACAGCATGTTACACTACAAAGTCCAATATCTATATTGGCGTCTATAGGGGGGCTCCGTTTCCCGAAGGTTTGCTCAGGATTTGGAAGGGCTTGCTGGGCCTCCTGTCACCAATCCATCCTTAGTTCGGTATGATGGGAACCGATAGACGAAACCCACATGCAAGGATAGTAATACGCTATCTTGGCTTAGTGTCTTTTGTGGATACCCTTACGCCTGCAACCCGCGGCCAAACCCCGCCAGAAGCGGTGGCTTTCGGCATGTTGATCTGAAGAGCTCCCCCTGAACCCCATATTTGAGTCTCAAACCCTGAACCCTGGCAGACGGCGTTTGGAGTCATGAAGTGTCGATAAACAGAGCAAAACATGCAGCTTGCGCAATTCGAAGCATTGGTAGTTGTAACGGAGTGCTGGCCGGAGTACTAGTGATGATAGCAAAGAGTAGTGGTAAGCAGTTTAAGCTGGTCGCCGAAGGTTCAGCAATATTTCGGAGAATCCAGCATTATGCGAGAAGATACGGGCGGAAGATATTGCAAACATGTTACATCACTACTATAACTTTTAGACCTTCCCTGTGTGTACTAAGAGTTGCTTGAGCTTCAAAAGTGGCTGTCCGACCTGAGTACGGGCCGAAGACGTCGGAAAATGCGAGGATAACCATGGAGGGCTTCCTGGTTCGTTGCACTTCAGGGTCTGCAAAGAAAACATGGGGCGCAGGCACGAAACTCTGAAGCGACAACGACGATAGCAGCGGCGACGATGACGATGTTGAAGGGGGATGCGCTGACGAGAATAAGCAGCCAAACGGCTCCCACCACCCCCATCACGGGCGCCTTAAAGTGGCCAAAAACACCACCACCACCAGCAGCAGCACCACAAGCACCCCCACGAGCACCACCACCACGACAACAACAACAGCCAAAACACGCCACCAGCACCACCAGCACCACCAGCACCACCAGCGCTACCACCCGTGCTACCACCAGCGCCACCACCAGCACCACCACCAGCACCACCACCAGCACCACTACCAGCACCAGCACCAGCACCAGCACCGGCAGCACCGCCACCACCAAATCCAAAGCCAAAAACCAACAACAACCACAACCACAGCGACAACAACAACAGCAAACCGACACCGACACCAACACCAACGCCAGCACCTACAACCTACAACCACAATAACAACAACTACTACTACTAGCACCACCACCACCGCCACTACGACTGCTGATACGACTACGGTTACGACTACGATACTACTACTACTACTACAACTACTACAACTACTACAACTACTACAACTACAACAACAACAACTACTACTACAACTACTGCTACTAGTACTAGTACTAGTACTAGTACTAGTACTACTACTAGTACTACTACTACTACTACTACTACTACTACTACTACTACCACTACTACTACCACTACTACTAGTACTACTAGTACTACTACTACTACTACTACTACTACTACTACTACTACTGCTACTACTGCCGCTGCTGCTGCTGCTGTTTCTAGTTTAGCCCCGGCTGCAGCGACTGGCACGACGACTATGACGCCGATGGTCACTGCGGAAATTGCGTGACGCTCTGGAACGCACGCAGCATGTCAGATGGCCTTGTGACAAACGCCCGTTATGACAGAAACACACCCACCAAATGCTTAAGTTAAGAACTGTCTCTACACATACATATGCAAATGCTTATACATGTAAAAAGAGACAGAAGTACATGTGCAGGTATAATATACATAGACATTTACATACATATACACATACATATATATATATATATGTTATATGTACAAGCATGGCTTCGGAGCTTTGGGAAACAGGGTTTCAGTCTGGGAAGTGGCATTGGGCAGCACAGGGCAGCAATGGTTACCTCCAAACTGGGAACAGTTGGAATACCACTGTTGAGGTCGGCGGTCATAACAGCGACGAAAGCAATGATACTGGACATACTGTTACTAGTTGGCCTAGGCGATACTTGCCGGAATGGTTAACGACAGTGAGCATGGGGGGGCCAATCGTCGATCGAAAACCGCACTTCGAGCGCCACACTTGTCTGCTCTGTGTTGCACGCAGCTTGTATTCTGGAGTGTACACTTAAGTAGCATGGCTCACAACATGTTGAAGAGCTCTCCCCACCACGGAACAATGACCCACGGTTTGCCGGTCTTCAAGACTCAGGACGCGTCTTTGGCAGGGCCGCGGTTTGGAAATTTCTGCATCTTGCAAAACTGAACTTTAGCTGAGCGGCTCTTTTTGACCACTAAAGTAGCAATCCAAGTCGGCCTCTTTCTCCTGCGAGCCTGCCGGCATCTTGGCAATGAAAAAACACCAACAACGGCTTTGCTTCAGAACAAGGCACAAGACGAATGCCCCAGCCTCCCCCTAAGGTCCGTTCTGCCTAGCTGAGGTTGAAGAAGTGAACCGACTGCAGCATGGCTCTAAAGACTCCAAAGGCGTCCAAATGTGTCTGCGAGGTGCTGTAGTCCACGCTCTACTGATCTGATCTGCGGGGATAAATAATACTGAATGATCCCTGTCATGGTCACTGCATTAAAAAGGTGATGCTATTCACACACGTGAGTCAAATGTTCCTAGGCCAGGGCTTGTCCATGGAGAGGATAGAGCACAAATGCGCACACACACACAGAAACACATTAAGTAAGGAGGTTCTTGGGAGGATCGGAAGCCAAGAGACCGAAGACAGAATGGAGGTGAACCCGTTAGGCACGACAAAGCAGCCACACGCAGCAAAAGGAGGCAAGCGCGAGGCAATGACGCATAGGCGCATAGGCGCCCCTCTCTCTCTCTCTCTCTCTCTCTCTCTCTCTCTCTCTCTCTCTCTTCACGGTTCTGATTCCACCAGGTGTGCGCCCATCTCTTGAGCCTGTGAGAACCGCCATGTCGGCAGCCAAAGGCCCATGCGAGCCCGATGGACAGCAAGGTGCGGCCATCGTCGCTCTGGTTTGGGGAGCGCCCCCAAGAGCTGAAACAAGTCGATGCCTGCACCTAAACAGCTGTGAGCCATAGGGATGCATTTCGAAGAGGCCTGGTATACGGTTCATCCTTACATCTGACTTAAAGCTTCCCGACAGAAGCCTGCAATACGGTGGAATACCGTCTGTCAAACCAAACGGGGACCCTGCATGGTGACAGGTGTAAAACAGCCATGCCCAGATCCACGTCTCCCTTATACCAGCTCGGGCACGCCACACTCGACATATCAAGTCACTTAAGGAAATCTTCAAACTAGACCAATACGCCCTGGGCGAGTCTGTCCTGAGTTTCGGGTTCAGGTCAGGAATCCCCAAAGAAATCCTCCTCTAGACCTTACTTTCTCGTCAACGGCCCCTAACCAACCCCCCGAACTCCAATGGCCAAAACCCGAATGAAAACACGCATGTCAAGCTCCCCACTGCCAACATCGGGACGGCGTTCAGGCGATGAGCCCCGCAGGTGCTGTCCTAGATGTCAGGACGTGCCACTAATGTATGCCACCACCGTTGCTGCCTGCGACGGCGACGATGACGAGTATTAGCACCACCACCTACAGACCCCACGCCTGACAACCAGGTCAGCCGGCAGGAACTGCTGCTTCGGCGAAGATGATCAAGATGCTGCTGGTGATGACGAGGCTTCGTCGGTTCATATGAGAAGATTAAGACGACCACCAAAACAATCATCACCAGCAGTAGTCATGCCATTGCTGTTGCGCGTCTTGACATGGACACACGGTAGTAGCATGGAGCCTCCGGATGGTTCGTGTATGTTCTCGTGCAAGGCCAAAGTCCCCTCTTAAACCGCAATGTCCCCCGACGACTGCTTGCTCCGGCGCCGGGCACAGATGTGAGTGACATGCAAAACAAAAACGGTGCAAGGTACCAGCACGAACAATCGTGGCGAAAGGAGAAGAGCTAGTCGAACAAAAGAACTACAGTTTGTAGTCGCCTGCGTTTCGGCCTTTATCATGTTTTAGTGTGGCCTGAGTGACTCTCTCTCTCTCTCTCTCTCTCTCTCTCTCTATGCCGTGCCATCATCAAGAGTCGCAGTGCAAGGGCACGAAATCGCAGGCGAGAATATCAGGAAACATAGCCCGAACGCTGAATCTCCGTCATTCTTCGAGCCCACTGGACTGGACAAGAACTTACCTGTGACTCGCCGTAGATCAATATCCGACAGCACCAGATAGCAGTAGCAGAATTTCAACGGCGGCAGCACAACCCTGAGAAGATCCAGCGCATTTGTGACGTGGGAGCGGATCTGAACAATATGCGCTGGTCGAAAAGTTGTCGAAAAGTAGAATTTGGATTAAAAAGGACTTGCTCAATCAGCGCTAATTGAAATACTGCCAAACTTGAACACCGAAGCAGAAAAGCGGCTTGAGACCAAGGAAACAGTGGGCACGGCGTTGACAAATGCGGCGGTGTAAGCATAAGCCCATCCACTGACTTTTAAAGAGGAAAGTGCGGAGTCAGTATAGCACGACCGTCGATAACGGAGTTAGGATCCTCTTCGCAATGCCCGTGTTATGATTTTCCCCCACAGCGAGTAAGTGTTTGATGCCAAGAATCAGCTCAACCTGCGATCCCAAACACCCTAAATACACATAACCAGTTAACGAACAGTGTTGAAAGGAGGCCCCAAGCTTGCGGATTCTAGAAAGCCATGTCGAGGTACCAGAATAACTTGTACTACTAGCTACAACATGCCCCAACAAGACCCCAAACCTAACTAAACACCAATACCCACCCTGAGCACTTTTGCATCCAGGACTCTTGCCCACCCTGAGCACTAAAACTCCAAACCATAAGCCCTAAGCGACAAGGACAAGCTCGCCTTGCTCTTTGAACCGTGCCAAGGGCGTCAGGGACCGCACCACGCCCCCTCGCTCACGATAGGCTTGGGAGCAAAAGAGTTCTGCTAAGGGCTTGATTCATAACGGCATTACCGGCTCCTACAGGTGTTCCATATGTGCGTCGAAGGTCCTAGGGTCTAGTATGGTCTAGGGCTACCCGGGCTTGGACTCACATTGTCCGGGTTAAAAAGATACGGGGTACGAGGCTTGCACACGCCGGAGTACATATGTAGCCCACACGTCTCCTGGAGCCTCGTTGCCTGCTCCCATGTCTCTCCCACCACGAAACTCAAAGGCAAGGCTGATCCTGAGAGTAGACTATGAAAAAACCACAGCTGCCCAAACAATAGCTCCTCTGTGCCCGTCTAGTTCTACTGTTCCCGATTATTTGGTTTTTACAATCGTAACAGCACTTCATGGGTCGAACCTTGCCACCCTGGACAACGCGACAGCATGCCCAAAGGCCTGTGGACTCTTTCGACCGATCCCTCTGCGGTGAGTTCGTGCGCGGACCTGACATGTGCCGTCGGAGCTGTGGATACCGCAGCGACACAGGATTTCGGAAGTAGGGTTTAGGACTCAGGGATTAGGGTCTAGGATGGCGATTGTCGTAACTCGCACACTCCACTCTGGGCGATGCTGCTGGGATTCGGCAGCTTATCCTAGGAGAAGACCAGTACTCCATGAAACTGCCAGCACGTCTAAGCTCATTCGAGCTACACGAAAACAAGTTTCTGCCTCAGCCGGCCATCGACATGAAGACTATCGAACAAACAAAGCTAATGGCTTGCACCACGCTGGTCAAACTCTGCCGACGGTTTATGATCTCCACCAGACTGAACCAATCACAGCAGGAGATGACGCATTCAGGATTTCTTTTTGCAAGGGCTTGGGGCTGCAGCCTTTAGCAGGTCAGGCTCGGAGTGTCTTGAAACCTACCTTTTAGACTCGGCCGAAAGAGAGGCCACGGCAGTTTCAGAGTCTTGTTTCTGCCCCATCTCTCTTTTGTAGGCCCGTTGTGTTTTTTTTCCACAGCCTGACAGATGGACGACCCCACCCAAAACAGCAGAAAGCAACCACAACGTCCGTTGGCTTGGCTCCTGGACCTCATGGTGTTTTGTCGTAAGGCTGTCCGAAGGCTTCATGAAGGCTCTTCGCATGACTTCATCATGGCCTTCTTGGGGGCCAAAGATGCTTGCCAGGCTTCCAGGTCCTCTGTCTACAGTCTTTCCTCTGGTCTTGTTAGGGAACAGGGCATGAGGTGCGAGGCACAGTATAGTGAACTTGGGTCTTCTTGATAGCATGGTTTGTTTCTCCTAAGCCCTAAACCCCAAACTCTTAAGCGCAACCCCTCACCCGCAAAAAAAGGCAATGTCGGACGACCACCTCCAGGAAAGAGTGGAATGGCGGCGGATCCTGAAAGTTGTCCGGTAAAGGCTTAGGATGACATGGTCTCGCAGTCTGCAACTGCGACGGTGATGACAGCTATTATGTTGGGGATTATGATCAGCGAGCAACAACGGGGCACAAGAAGGTTGTGATGGCCAAGCACCTTGACGTCATGACACCTCTAGCTAGTATTTGTTGCTAACTCTAGCAGTGAACCTACGATGTTTCCACCAGCCTGACTGTTGCTGTGGCTCTTGCGCTCGAGTGCTGAGCTGTTGCCATGGTGAGAAACTCGTCGTCGTCACTGTAGTGCTACTGCTACATACTACTGCGTGTAGCGCAGGTCGCTTGGGTCGAAATAGGCTTCTCTGCCCTGGTTAAAACGTCAACATGTAATTGCTTGAAGCTTTGACCCCTCCGGCCAGAGGCCAATGTCCTATGTAAGCCCCTGAAAGAATTACTGGGTTCAGGCTGGTTCAGGTTCGATCCAGGGCGAGCTTTCGGGCTCGAGTGGCTTGATCTGGAAAGGGGTGCCTTCCATTTCATTGAATCCCCGGCACTACGCTTACTTCGCACCCTGCACAAGCCTTCACCAAGATCCGACCGACAACAAACCCTACCCCACTCGCCCCACTCACCCTCCCCTCTCCTCGCGGTAGCATCATGGACCCGTGAACAGCCATGCCTCGAATCAAGCGATGGTGGTTGACGACCCATGGCTGATCCGATCCGGGATTCAGATATAGGCATGCAAGACACTCAAAGATTTGGCAACAGGCCAGCTACTCAAGTATCAGGGCATAGGGACTTGCAAAGTTACTTCTCGGAGAATCCATCACGTGCTCTGTGTTGTGCGGAGATTCCGATCGTAGATGGTTGAAGAAAAATACAAATGCATGGTTTCTAGAGGAGTGCGTACACTCGTACTTAAAAAGTGCACGAAACCTGGGTTTTGACACGACTTCTGCAAAAAGCAGGTTTGTAGCGCATCACGGAAACTATTGCAAACATTCTGTCATCTTTGCTATCACCATCATCATCATCATCATCATCATCAACTCGTCATCATGAGTAGAATCATCACCACCGCCATCATCATTGTTAACATCATCACCATCATCATCATCATGAAAGTCATTATCTTCTTCTTCAACACTATCATCATTACCAGCATTGTCACCGTCCACACCATCATTATGGTCATCACCATCATCATCATCATAATCATCACCGTCATCATTGTTGATTGTCATCACCACCGTCATCACCATTGTCATCATTATTACCATCATCACTCATCACGGTCATTATCATCAACAGCATTATCATTATCATTGTCACCGTCATGTTCAAGAACAGCCGGGAGACCCCCATGTCGTAACACGGTTGTCTCACAAGCAGGCGAACTCGAGATGAAAAGCACAACAGGACGCTATCAACCATCCTCGTCCCCCCGATACCCCTTTCCCCTGAAAAGCAGCACAACCCTGCAAATATTGTCGAAAGCCCGCAAAAACGCATGAGTTAACCTGGCGCCCTGTGCGCCCGCCACCTTCTAGAAGACTATGGTCTCGGAGCTCGAAAAGAGCTTGAAATATGAGACATTTGCAGCAAATGTCTTCCACACCAACGCATTTGAGGCTACAGTAGCAATGGGATGACAGGATTTCGCTCAGCGGCGTAGCAATCATTGCTGGGTTTTTGTTTGCT